TTAGATCAACTAGATCTCCCATTGGATCAACCAGATCTCCTATTGGATCAACCAGATCTCCCTTTGGATCAATCAGATCTCCTATTGGATCAACCAGATCTCCCATTGGATCAACCAGATCTCCCATTGGATCAACCAGATCTCCCATTAGATCAACTAGATCTCCCATTGGATCAACCAGATCTCCCATTGGATCAACCAGATCTCCCATTGGATCAACTAGATCTCCCATTGGATCAACTAGATCTCCCATTGGATCAATCAGATCTCCCATTGGATCAACCAGATCTCCCATTGGATCAACCAGATCTCCCATTGGATCAACCAGATCTCCCATTAGATCAACTAGATCTCCCATTGGATCAACCAGATCTCCCATTGGATCAACCAGATCTCCCATTGGATCAACTAGATCTCCCATTGGATCAACTAGATCTCCCATTGGATCAATCAGATCTCCCATTGGATCAACCAGATCTCCCATTGGATCAACTAGATCTCCCATTGGATCAACTAGATCTCCCATTGGATCAACTAGATCTCCCATTGGATCAACCAGATCTCCTATTGGATCAACTAGATCTCCTATTGGATCAACTAGATCTCCCATTGGATCAACCGGGTGCCACACCCTGTTGAACATTCAAAATTAATTGTCACCCTGTTGAAATTTGTTTGCACCTATTTATCAAAAGTATGTAATATTGAGATATTTTGACTAAACAGGCCTGTTATATTTAGCACTGTTGAAAAAACAAGCAAAATTTGAATTTAATACCCCGTTGAAAAACAAACAAAATGAGGATGTAACAACATGTTGAGAAAACATAAAAAGGATTCAGCACCTTGTTGAAAAAACGAGCAAAATTTAGATTTAGCACCATGTTGACAAAGAAAAGGTACAATTAATGATAGTCCTTCAATCTATTCAGCACTTGCTTGCTTCAATGATGGGTTGATCACTTTCACCATATTTTGTGTCCTTTATAGACACCCCTGATATGTTGGTTGAATAGACTATTAAGACTGGTAAAGAGGAATCAATATGTACAATTGAAGATTGTGTCTAACAGGAGCCTCTGATCAATAACACTGAATAACATTAACAGTATTTATAATAGAGTTCACTGCACTCTTTCAATTCACAGGCAGATTTATGCAAACAATCACCAAAGTGTGTAGCCAAAAGCAGCAATTCATTTTTGTTCACTGAACAATACCAACAAATCAGATTCTCTGGTAGGAGTTTGATTGTCAGTTGGTTTTCTCCTGCAGGGGTATGACTATCAGCTAAGATTCTCCTGCAGGGGTATGACTCTCAGCCAAAGTTCTCCTGCAGGAATATGACTCTCAGCTAAGGTTCTCCTGCAGGGGTATGTATATCAGCTAAGGTTCTCCTGCAGGGGTATGACTATCCACTAGCATTCCCCTGCAGGGGTATGACTATCAGCCAAAGTTCTCCTGCAGAAGTTTTACTATCAGCTAAGGTTTTATCACAGGAGTATGACTCTTAACTAAGGTTCTCTTGCAGTAGTATGATAATCAGCTAGTAGTGCATTTTCATATAATAAAGAGTTAACCATCTTTCATTAGAATCAGAGTTGTAGTGTGTTAAATACTACCATGTTGAAGTACAGTTAGGTTAAAGAAGATATTATTCACAGGCATATGAAGTCGTTGTGACATTGTTGGAGTCAAATAATACATTTCAATATATCAACACATCTATTAAATGTTTGAAAATGTCATTAGATGTGTAATGTATCTGATTTGCTCGTCTATTGTTGTTTGACGGTTATTAGTGTTTAACTTTAATGTACTGTCAATTTGGTTATACCCTTTTGTTAAAAAGTTAAAGTAATAAACTTTATTTTATTCTATTTAAATTGGTGGGAAACTTCTTGACTGATCAATCAAAGCCTGACGATGCAAGTCAGGCTGATTTCTGTATCAATGTAGTTTTCTGTATATGTGTGGAAAGGTTGACGTCTATCTACTTTTGCTTGATTGTGTGGTTGGTAGGTTGGGGTAGGGGGGCCTTCGGTAAAAGTGACATGAGGAGATCACTGTTCAAGATTTCTTATATTTAGATTAGTGATAGCAAAATTGAGATTGTGAGTGTTCAGATTCTGTAAGAAGTTTGGATTATAAAGCTGTTTGGAAATACATGTTTTACTATATTATTAAACAATAATATGGCACGATGACATGACGTTTGACATTTCTATACTGTAGACTGGTACTCGGCTTAAAACACAAATTAAGAAGACAAGTTTTGAAATGTTTAATATAAAAACCAAACTTTGAAGTGATCAAATTTAGTCATTTAGTATATTGTCCTTACCAATGGGAGCAGGGTATATGAGAAAATTTCATAGAAAAGAATATTACTGAAAAGGATACATAATGTTCTTATAACATTGAATATGGTTACCTTAGGGAATAAAACCCCTTGTAATTTATAAGCTGATACCTTTTGTTATTTTAGTGTAGTTTTGTCACATTTGTTTTGCATTAGATCAGTTATGAAATAATAGCACTTTCGGTCAGTATGCTAAATTAATTCTACTTTTCGCGATAAACGGAAGTCGTGTTTTATGCGTTTGTAATCCACGGGGAGTTAGATATATGTAATCCTTGCAATATCATTTATGCGAGGCGCAAATGTGATGGATTAATAGTATAATGATAACTGAATGGTAATTGATTGTTTGTCAGAGGAAATCTGTTCTCAAAATTGCACTAATATAGAATTTTCCAGCGTATAAAATGGTCATGCATGCATGCAAAATTTATGTTTGCCTCAACTTTAGGAAAACATTTCTTTTACAGTATATTTGTCTTCATTTTCGGTTGAAATTTAAGTCTCGCAGTCGCACCAAGCATCTTGGAGAATGAATGTATCATATAGTCTCACTTCTGGATTTTTCCTTATTATATAAATGCATCTAATATAATTACTGAGATCCATACTTGCACACATTGTTGCAAAATCTATATCTTATAGGTGTTTTCCCCAAAAAATTGTTTGTTTATTTTATGTTCTCTCACTTATTTTGCCTACATAATGTTTATCATTTTTATGATTACAAAAAGTTGTTTTCAGTAGTTTTATCGTAAATATGTTGTTTTGTTCAAACATAGACTATTTTATTGTTTCATTGGCCAATTAGTAAATGTCCTAATTGCCATAGTAACAGTAATACAGCTGTCTAATACGCTTATGATTTATATATATAGTTATTATAACAGCTATATAATATAATTGATATATAGTTGACAGCTATTCAGAAATATATCTTAATAAATATAATACATAGATTCTTTGGTATTAATTTAATTATTTTATTTTATTTAATCTATTAAAGTGTAAGTGACATCTGGGAGTCTCATTTATTGCATCATGGTCTATGTTGAGCTCCTTTGTTTTTGAACAATTACTAGCAAGTACTATGAAACTGTTGCATCATGGTCTATGTTAAGCTCCCTTGTTGTACAAATACTAGCAAGTACTTATGAACTGTTGCATCATGGTCTATGTTGAGCTCCCTTGTTTTCATAAATACTAGCAAGTACTTATGAACTGTTGCATCATGGTCTATGTTGAGCTCCCTTGTTTTCATAAATACTAGCAAGTACTTATGAACTGTTGCATCATGGTCTATGTTGAGCTCCCTTGTTATCATAAATACCCGCATGTACTTATGAAACTGTTGCATCATGGTCTATGTTGAGCTCCCTTGTTATCATAAATACTAGCAAGTACTTATGAACTGTTGCATCATGGTCTATGTTGAGCTCCCTTGTTTTCATAAATACTAGCAAGTACTTATGAACTGTTGCATCATGGTCTATGTTGAGCTCCCTTGTTATCATAAATACCCGCATGTACTTATGAAACTGTTGCATCATGGTCTATGTTGAGCTCCCTTGTTATCATAAAGGTGGTCTATCCTTACCTCCTTAGCCATAGATCAGTTTAATGCCTGTAGTTGTCTAAGATTACCTCCTTATCTCTGACAAAAATGTGAGAAAATATAGTAGGTGACAAAAGATATCTCATATTCCAGTCTTGAATAATAAGGGAGTTGCAGTATAGCTGAATACAGCTTAATAAATAGATGTCAGCACTTGTTTTTATTTGCCTTGATTGGGTCAGACTGTCATAGGCTTCAATTGTAAAAATATAGAAACTTCTCAATTGTATAGTTTGTATTTAGGTTATAAACCTAAATTGCATCTTTTAAGCTGTCTCTGATTGAAGGCAGGTTATTCTACTAAGATTAGATGAGAGATTAGATTGAATTGTTATCTGACATAGGGAGGACTCATTGCTATATTGCAAAAACTGTAGATGCATCATTGATTTAATATAATTGTTAAATGTGAGCCTAAGAGGCTGAGATATGAGCTTAGGAGTGAGGTAGGACATAAATGGGTGAGTTGAGAGAAGATTGTGAACTTAGATGGTTAGGTATGAAGGGGTGAGGGGCTGAATAATGAACTGAGATGTGAGGGGTGATGATTAGATGAATTACCAAACAATTGTTTGTTTGGCAAATTAGTGTTTAAGCAAACAAATAAAAAACAAGCAAACTAATGATAGAATAGTAAATAGAAGAGTTTGAGGACTATAAAATGCTTCCTCAATTCTGTGAGTTACTTAATAAACAATATAAATCACCAATTTATGACAATATTATATGCCTAATAAGGTATATTGAAATCCTATGAAGTCTTGCATATAAGTCAAGAACCTTATACAAATCTGTAAATAATCTATTTGTGCACTATACTGAACCAAATACAATGGTTTTTCTGGCTCATATGTAGGACTAATTAATTAACCATGTGAAGACAGATCCACATAATGAGAATCTTGGTTCGGATTAGATTAGGTTTTATACTGTATATATTTGCTAATTTCCATGACTTTTAATATTTCCTTGTTTTTGTAAATAAAAATTGATGAAATTAAATCTATACCCTCTCTGTTGCAGCAGAAGCTGAAGAGGAAGTTGGATTCAAACAGTGGTATCGACCCAAACGGTCACGTCAACGATAATACAAATCCATATAACTTCGATGACCAAGCATCGCCGTCTCAGCCCAAGAAACCATACACGAGTAAAAATGGTGAAGCTCCACCTAGTGGGGGCATGGAGAATCAGATTTCGGTAAGGATCGTCCAGGAAATCAACCCGAGCACAGATCAAAAACAGACAATACAAACCGACGTCACGGTTAGTTCAACATTTAAGCAAGGAGAAAATACAAACTTTACGTCAAGTGGCACGACGAGTACCCAAGTTACGACAAACACTACGAGTGAATTTAAACAAGAAAATCTTGATGTTCCACAGGGACATGGTTCAACTTCATCCGATCTAGAAAAATTAGAGGATTTGGATGACATTGAAGACATTTTGAAATCATTGGAAAAAGGAGATGAAAGTTTAATTGACAATTTCATTGAAAATGATGATGATAAACACGCACTAGACGCTGTCTTTGCGGAAACTAATTCACCGATGTCATCACTTCCCAATGACATGAATGACTTGTTCGATAAACAACCCCCACCCCCTATGACAACCCAGCCTCAGAATGTTCCACCCCCTCCCTGTCCTCCTAATGGTGCAGGACCAGCTCCAGCCCCTGCCCCCGCGAGTTTCCCACGTCCCCAAAGTAATCCACCTATTGCCAATCAAACATATGCCTTGCAGGCAGGAGAGACACTTAAACGTATGGCCGCCCAGCATCAGACTGGCGGAGTCCCAGGGCAGCCTGACACATTCAGACCGCAACAAGGTGGGCCCCCTAGTGCTTCCATGGGGCAAGACCCATCTACACCATTCCAGCCCCCGCCCAGAGGTTACCCTCCTGGTCCTGGGTTCCAGCAACAAAACCTTACCCAGAATCCAACCAGTAATATGTACCCATACACCCACCAGACCAGGGCACAGGGGGTACCTACACCTTCCCAGCATCCTCATCAAGGGATTCCTGCGCCGGGGCAGTCTCCTCCACCTACTATGGGACCTCGTGGTAGTCACCCACACCCTAATTATCCTGGTGGTATGATACCGTCATATGGGGCTACAAAACCTCTCTCACATTTCCCAGATCCTATGGGGAACAATAACCCATCAGCTAACTCCCTGCAGCAGTTACAGAACCAGGTCAGAGCCCAGTTCACCCCTGGAGCCCAGGGGCCAGGTCACATGGGTCAGCAGATGCAAATCAACCAATCACAACAGATACAGATGAGTCAGCATGGCAACCAACACATGCAGGTTAACCAATCACAACAGATGCAGCTGAATAACCATAGCAACCAACAGATCTCAATGAATCAGCAACAGAGCTTTACTATGACTGGTGCAGCTAACCCAATGGGTGCCCCTGGCCCTAGACAACAGGGACCAACCAACACAAACTATGCTAGTGAACAAAATGCAAAACGCATGATGGCTGAAAAGTTGCGATTAGAAAGAGAGGCCAAAATGCGTGAGCATCAGCGAATGGAACAACAGCGTCACCATGCTGCTATGGAGCAGCACCGTCAGCAAGAAGCAGCGATGGAACAGCATCGTCAGCAGCAGCAGGCAGCGATGGAGCAGCAGCAACGTCAAATGCAGCAGCAGCAATATATGAATCGGCCACCCCCAGAGTATAAGGGGCCAATGGGCAGTCAGCAAGTACAAGGTCAGAGTAACCCGTTACAGACCATGCAGAAGATGGTAAGTGGGACCAGCCAGCCACCCCAGCCTCACCCAGGCATGATGCAGCCAAAGACAGAGCCACCGCATCCAACCATGATGCAGATCAAAACAGAGCCTCTTATCCCTGGGCCTGGGCAGCCACCAAATATGACTATTAAATCCGAGCCTCAGATGCAGATTCCTGGTGCCCCAGGGACAGTCAGAGGAGGTGCCCCAAGGACATACTCACCTATAACATGCCAGGGGTACCCCACCCCCAATCCATCATCATCCCTACCCAGTTATACAGTCAAGGCTGAACCGCGGTCCCAGCAGATGTATTCAACCAATCAAAATCCAATGATGTCCTCATTCCAAACACGGCCGCAGGGTCAAAACAATCCCATGTACACTAGTGCAATAATGCGCAACCAGAAACCCCCAAATGTAAACGTTGGCCCAGAGGGCTTGAATATATCGCAGCAGCGCCCTGGTGCTGATTGGTCGAGACAAATGTCCAATCCAGGTGCAGGATCTCAAATGAACATGCCAAATAATCTAGTTGCTAGAAGAGACAGTGCCAGTATGGCACAATACATGGCACAGCAACAGCAATCTCATAGGCAAGTCTCCGTGGCAACCAATGGACCCCTTGGACAAAATCAAATACAAATGCAGCAGCATTACTCTCAGCAACAGCAACAAATTAGTAGTGGCCATCCCATGCAAAACAGTGCCATGCTACAACAACAACAACAACAACAACAGCAACAACAACAAAGTATGCAAATGCATTTGCAACAACAACAACAGCAACACATGTCATCTATAAGCATTACCGAGTCACAATCAGTCTCCATGGCAACCACTCAGCAACAACAAGTGCAACAGCATTTACAGCAACGGTCTCAACAGCAACAGCAAGCACCCCCACCACAACAACATAATTCAACAAGTGGCAATGACTTTTCTCTAGATCAACTCTTGGACACTGCAAGTAGTAACAATGGTCTATTTGAAAACATACAACCGGATTTATTAGATGAAATATTTGGCAAATAGACAGTAAGAGTGAGGTTTTAAATATGGGGCTTTTAATCTAGAATATTCAAATGAATTCAAAGTAGCTGACATTTCTTTCACATTTAAATACTCATTAAAGGTTATAAATGTTGACTGGGTACATAATTCTTAGTTTCAAAATCTAAACCAAATTTGGTCAAAATCTGCCTATTTTCCATGATATTCTTATTTTTGAGTGGGTGCAAATAGATTCTCAATTTCTAGAATAAAATCCCCATATTTCTATTTATCATATAAACCTCGCCACAATATCTTAATGAGTTATTTATTATGTAAATTATAGTTGTTGAATTTATTTATTTCAAAAATGAGTGAAAATACGTATGTTTTGTAAGAGAATGAAAATTGATATTTAACTTAAACCTGCATATATACATTTGTATATTGCCTATATTTATTGTCGAAGTGTCATAATAAAATATGATTGAAGAATGTACACATATCCCATGAGTCAGTGTTCTGACAACTCTCATTTTTGAATCTGATTGGTTGATTCAGTCACATGATCAATAGGGTATGTGGGAAAGTGTTTCAAACATTGTCTTAACAGTCATAAACGCATACACCAATCTGATATTAGACTCTGAAAACATGAACTTCTATGTATATATAATACATGTAGCTAATTTTGTAAATGGAGTCTATAAGTGTCTGTAGTTAATTATTATTGTATTTTAGCATCTTTCATTTTAGATATGAAAAAACACAAACAGATACAAACAAATGTAAAAACTAGGGATTAGTAGTCATGTATAAACTATAGTCATATATTTTAGTAGTTTTAGAACCATTTAGAATTTTATACTATAATTGTATTTAAATATAATTTATCTAAGAATAGAGAAAATTAAATACTTGTCTCAAAGTGTTTTTTTTAAAGTTTAGTTTAGTTTAAGAAATGGCTCACACTTTAATTAAATCATTGATGATTTCTTGAAATGGTATGTTAAGACAGAAATCAACATGAAGAAGACACGCATTTCGTCATTACACAAATAGCCATCAGTTTCATTAGAATTTTTGGCAAAAAACATGTGCAAATTTCCTTAAAATAACAGTCAATTTCGGTGAGAACAGGGAGAGAAAATCGTTATGAAAACACCTGCTACAGAATTGGAAGTGTCCGCATTTCATTGTTTTCACTTCAGAGAGGTGTTCACTTTGTTGTTTGGTTTATATGCCATGCAATATGTATACTTCATTGTTTGGTTTATATGTCATGCAATATGTGTACTTTATTGTTTGGTTTATATGCCATGCAATACATGTACTTCATTGTTTGGTTTATATGCCATGCAATACATGTACTTCATTGTTTGGTTTATATGCCATGCAATACATGTACTTCATTGTTTGGTTTATATGCCATGCAATATGTATACTTCATTTTTTGGTTTATATGCCATGCAATATGTGTACTTCATTGTTTGGTTTATATGCCATGCAAGATGTGTACTTCATTGTTTGGTTAATATGCCATGCAAGATGTGTACATCATTGTTTGGTTTATGTGCCATGCAATACATGTACTTCATTGTTTGGTTTATATGCCATGCAATATGTGTACTTCATTGTTTGGTTTATATGCCATGCAATACATGTACTTTATTGTTTGGTTTATATGCCATGCAATATGTGTACTTCATTGTTTGGTTTTTATGCCATGCAATATGTGTACTTCATTGTTTGGTTAATATGTCATACAATACCCCATTACCGAGTTAATATGCCATGCAATACTGTAATGTCGGAGTTAAATGTAAAGCAAAACTATAATTAGGCTCCTATGTTTCTACATACTACTGTCTCACATAGGATAACATACACTACTTAAAACAATGTCTGATAAAATCAATTGACTTGACTGAATTTTGGAAAAATTTCATATCTTTATCAGGCTTGATGAAATAGTATTATGAATATCAAAAGAATTATTATCCATATTAGATCTGATAAAACACTATCACGAATATCAAAATGAAACCAGAAGCCAACATTGAATTAATGATTTGTGAAATCTCTTTATTTTATTTACAAGAATGGGACATTATTATTATGAACTTGTGTCCTATACTGCAATCAATATGCCTTCGATGAATACTCTTCATAAAATGTCACTGTGTTCTCGTTGCTTGCTTTGTAAAACACAAGAAAACAAAGGATTTTAAAGCTAACTAGTAATACTTCTTCAATGTACACAGTGTATTCTATATTTGACTTCTGGTGCTCAGATTTATGGCGCATGAAGTCGGCTTTTAAGGGTGAAATTGAGATGTATTTAATGATTTTTTGTAAGGGTCATTTCAATAGATACAATACTTACTGGAATCATTTCAAGAAAAAGTCTCCTCGGTTTATGACCCTTAGATGAAGTTTCATAAAATCATGATCTTTCTCCCAAACTGAAAACCAATGATATCTAAAAAAATGTACATTATTAATAGTAATGGAACAATAGATGGACCTGTCAAATGAGCGTGATCCATTGGGTAAATTCATAAAGAATGATCAAATTTGGATATCTATGATAAGATCATGGACCTCAGTTTGGGAGAATATACCGCTCATATCATAAGCTCAGTGATTGATTAAATGGATTTCCTTTTTATTAAGGAGAATATAAAATTTCTACTTATTCATTTGATAATAACAGTAGCTGAACTTGTAGATGAGTCTTTATGAACAAACTGATTAAATTTGGGAACATTTTGATTTGATTTAGACATAATTTGAGAGATATCCCATAATCCTTTGCAACTGAGCAGCAGACGTCTTCAATTCATTATAAATAAAAAACTGTATGTTTTATCTGACAGTGAAATCAAGAATGACCCAGGATTGCATTTTTAATTTAATTCATCAACTCTCTAAGACTCATTTACAAATGCAGGTTATAAATGTGAAACTGAGTCTCCCGATTATTATCTGTTTTCATAGCGAATATTATTCGCCTGTTAATAGTCTCTGTTTAAGACTATAGCATTAGAGGCCTGTAGATATTACAATTACGCCAAGCAATCAGTATTATTGTCCAATCAATATTGCTAGCTATCTTAAAGCGACATAATTACAAATTATGGTACATATCATTCGAGCTATAGATGTCACCGCTGTATGTGTTGTTCTATCTGGAATATAATTTATATGGATGTGTGAAAATGGCTGGATTCATTTAGTGCTGGATTGACTGCATTTTTTGTGAAAAAAACAAAGGAAATATTTGGTCAAACTAATGTCTAAAGTCAAATTTTTTAGCTCCTACGATGACATCAGTAGTCTGGACAGCTACGTGAGAATCATATTCCATCTTTGGCTATTCTTCATCAAAATCAACTGTGGCTCATTTTGAAGCTTAGAGAGGTACTAGATTTTGATAACGTTTTTTAAAATATTGGATATGGTTTGCTTTTATAAATTGAGTATTTGGTATTTATGTGTTTAAGTGTTAACATACAAAGGTCTAAATGTCAGGTCTTGTCAAATGTCAGGTCTGGTCAAATGTCAGGTCTGGTCAATGAGCAGGCTTTATGCCATTAAGTTATAGGTCAGAAGTGTCCAGATTTAAATATATGTATTCAGTCCAGGCCTATAGCCAGCTTTTGCCAAAGGGTTTAAGTTTACTAAAAAAAACTCCAGGGGAAGGGGATAACGTTTGACAATTTTTGCCCCAAATCTGAAAAACTGTATGACCCCCCCCCTGGCTACAGACCTGCAGTCTTATGTGTGATGTCAAAGTGACATCAATACATGGTTTTCACTAATCATAAGCAAGCATGTGAAACTAGGTCAATTGTATGCATTTATTTAAAAAAGACATTATGAACCTATATTATTTTTGTGAGTGCATAATTATTTCTAAAGCGTACACACTCAATTTGAGGAAATCGAATATGTTCAGTAAAAAATTCTTGGAGTAAGGGAAAGTTATTCTGATATGTGAATACTCTAGTTACACCTGTATATCCGAACACCTGTATATCCGAACACCTGGTTAATCCTAACACCTCTCAATCTGAACACTCAAGGGTGTTGGATTAGACAGGTTCTACTGTACTAGATAGTATCTACATTTTTTGAACATTTGAAATAGTGACCTGGTCAAAGTTCATTGAAATATTTTTGTTTGACTATGAGTATACATTTTGATACGATCCCTCTTTAAATAGTTTTAATTAATTAGGCAAGGTGAAAGATCTCAGGTTGATGAAAGAACAGGTGTTTCATTATTATGCTTGTAATGATTGTTATAATAATTTTTTAGATAGTGATCAATTTTGAATATGATATTTAGATTATACATGAAGTTAAAATACTGATCAATTTGAGAAATTAAATCAACATTTCTTCACCGTCAAACTTTTTTTTGAATTGAAATGTCATTTTTGAAAATATTTTTATTTCACTTAGAATCTATGCATATTGAATGTTCCACACGATGTTAACAATAGAACTGAACAACTCTTGTGTTAATATATGGCTCGACAAAGTATTTATCCACTAGAGGGTGGATATGTATCCAGTGCAGGGTGGATATCTCAAATTAACTAGTTTTAAACCAGCTACAGTATTTGACTCGTCATGTTGTCTCTCCTGATTTATTTTGCAAAATTAGTTTTAAACTTGTATGGTAATTGAATAGTAATTGTTTGCAAAATGGTATATGTTTACATTTTTACAACAGTATAATATGTTATTGTGAATTTCATCATATGTTATTGTGTATTTCATCATAATGGCCATTGTCATAGAGATGGCAGTAAGTTATTGAGACAGAACATTGTATATTTCCTATAATTATTATAATATATATTATAGTTTTGTAAATTTAAACTGTTTTATGTTAAGTTTCCATAGACTCGGGCGGGGGCGCGAGGGGGGAGAGATAGAGAAAGAGGGTGGGAGAGGGAGGTAGAGTTAGGATGGAAGCGGGAGAAAGAGAGAGGGTGGCAGAGAGAGAGTGGGAGTCTGGAAGGGAGAGA